CAATAAATAAAGAAAAATAATGGTAAAGAAATCAATAAAATTAAAAGCCATTGTTAATTATGAATATAGATATAAAAATTCTAAATAAAATATTACCAAATGTAACACAGTAATGTATTAAAAACAGGTTTTATTCACAGAATGCAAGAAGTACTTTAATTTCCAGACATTTTAATTTATTATATCAACAATGTATTTCCACTGGATTCCTCATACATCAAATTTAAGCTTTCTATGAAAAAGGCATTTCTTACACTTAGATGTTGCTCTCTGGTTTCTAGCTGTGCTGGTGACAAGTAGGGTTTACTGCATAAGGTGTTAAAGTACATTGAAAACATTTCAATATTTGAACGAAAAGTACACATATCAGTAACGCACACATAGTCACTGAGACAACAATTACTGAGATAACCATTGGTGATCTTTTGAAAGCAGTGGTCATTTCAGAGACTGCAGCATTTTTTGGACAATTTCTTCCTGAAAGAAAATGAAAGAAAAGAAAGTTCAAATTGATCTCACAATTTCAGTGTATTTATGGGCAGCTGGTAGCTTTGCTAAAATGGGTGGAAAAATATTTTTACAGATAGTCTGAAAAATATGTTCTATAAACTCTTGTAGTATTCGAAAGAACAACTCAATGGACTAAGAGTAAGATTTGTGAGAAGACTTTCTCATCACAATACTAAGAGAGTGTGTGTGAGGGAGAGAGAGAAAGAGAGAGAGAGTGTGTATGCAAGGGGGTGGCAGGCACAGGAGGAAAAATAAAAGGTGGAGAAAGAGTGAACAACTACTTTTCGACTTCTCTTCCAATTTCAGGGATGCCTGAGGATTTTATTTTTGGTCAAATCTCCCTTGAATCACTAACTCATTTCATAAGAGTACATTGGATCTAAGGTAAACGTGAATCTGGATGAGATTACTCTACTCAGTGTCAAGTTTAATGAGTAACAAGCGACCTGCTGGGATGAGGCTTCTGCCCCAGAGAATGAGGGTGAGTCGTATGTGCCTCGGGTGGGGGTTGGGAAGCAACATGACTAACAAAGCAGAAAAACTTAAGGGACCTGGAACTGCCCTGAGCTGAGGGTCTGAGCCAGCTCAGCCTCATCTGTCACGGCCACGTGTGTCCCAGGTGCTGCATGACTGGCGGATGGTAGAATGGCATTCTGAAAGGCTGTTCCAAAAATGCTGTGTTTTTGCCTGTCCTATATATTTTCTTAAAGAAAGTAAATCTTGATAGGGTAAAGCCTATCGTCTCGGGAGCGTGACTGCCAATCTGAACCTAAGGCCACAGCTTCTTGTTAAACCAAATAAACATCGCAAAGAAACAAAGGCATCGGTAAAACAGAGATATTTAGTGATTATGGGGCCATATTGGGAAAAAGTAGTACTCACACAACACTTTACTTCTTCTATTGCTTCATGTAACATTTTTAGAAATCTTTTCTTCTTCTTATGGCGCAGAATTACCTTAATTAAAATGTAATCAAATTATGTTTGTTATTCAATCATATTTAATTAAATTTAATGTTAATTCAATGTAATTAGACAATTGTGATTTCATTGTCTATTTTATGTCACTGTAGAATTTTCTTGTTTCTATACCCTACCATTACAGCAGGGTTGACCAAGAACAGACCGAGAGGCACACAGAAGTATTGGCAAAACAGGTTTATATACGCCGGCCCAGAGCGGGTATTATCCCCAAATTCTGAGCACCAGACAAAGAGCACTGCAGTCTTTTATACACTCTGCTTAAGGAGTTGGGGCACAGTTACAACAGGGTTAACTTTAGTGAGGCAGAGTCCTAAGCTACTTCATGGCCTGGTACTCTAATTGCTATAGGTGATTTATGAGGGTGGCAGCTGTCGGGGAGGAGGCCCAGGGAACGGTTTAAGGGAGGAAACCCGGTAGTGGAATTTTCTACTTTAGGGGAATTTTTCAATTTTCCACTTCATACAGATGAGTAGAATTTTGGAAAATTTCAAGTGTTTGGAACAGCTGTCTTTTACTTCCTAACGTTACCAAGTTGGGACCAATTCTCCTTTCAAGAAGGCCTCTCCTCTGACATGCAGATAGGTGTCCGTTTCTGGAGGTGACCCTGGCACACAAATTGTTGTTGGCCTTACCTTTTTCCTTGCATGGTGGCTAGTTTTCCTCAGTGTCTTTTCTGTTCTCAACTCACATGCTCCGTCCTGGTCGCTCTCAGAAACCGAGGAATTCGTTTCTACCTCCTGATTATCTGGCTTCAGATTTGGCCCTTCAAACAAATCAAGCCGTGTGGGGACAATGATAAGTGTCAGTTTTTCCTGACTCAGTGATATTTGAGTGTTCCATGCATATAGGAATGTATGTGTGTGTGTGTATATATATATATATATATATATATATATATATATATATATTGAGTTACTATATACACAAAAAAATTAGTTTATAGAGGCTAGAAACCTGAAAAAGGTCCTAGTAAATACAAGAAACCAAGAATAACATGTCTTGTCACCCATATCCCATCTCTACCTTTTCTCCACCCCAATTATCTTGCAATACCCCTTGTGGAGACAGACTAACCTGATGAAGTAGCTTGAGGCACATTGTTTCTTTCTGCCATTTCTTTTCCACTGTTTGCTGGTGTGTCTAATAGATTTTTAATGTCTTCTTGTATTTCATAATTTTGTAAAAATTTTTCCAGAAATTCATCACCAATGCCAGTTTTACCTGATGACATAGAAAAATTTCCTGAAAACTGGAACTTCCTAGGAAAGCATATTTCACCAAAGAGTAATCCTCTTGTTTAACATGCTGTAATAACTCCACCTCACGGATTAAAGTTGTGGCACCAGTGAGTGTCATGGAGAACATGGAGGGGGTGTGGGAGGGAGAGGAAGGAGCAGAGAGAGAGAGAGAGAGCACCACATACAGACTGAGAAAGATGGAAAATGGCACAAAATATTTGGGTATCAGAGTGAAACATAAGTAGGAAAAATCTAAATTCACACAAGCCTTAAAAGCTCTTAAAATAGAAAGATACAAGCTCATCCTGACTTTTTCCCTCCTTTTTACTTAGAAAATGATTTTCTATCCTTTTCTAACCAGCATAGAAAGGCATTAAAAAATTAATAATAAATGTTAATGAAAGCCAATAGGACAGTGTTGAGAAAAGCATATTTCTAATGAGAAATGTCCTCCTTCCAGGGTATGGTCAAAGGAAAATCTAATGAATATTTCTGGACAATTTCAGTGAGATTTGAGCAAAATAGAATATTTCTGCTTATTGGAAATGATCAGTTCTTAAATGCATATTTGGGTGTGTTTTTTCTGTTGCTCTCTATTTCCTCCCAGAATATAAAGTAAAATTAAGCCAAGGATAGTTCTTCCAGGCTTGAAGGTGTCAGAAAACTTTCAGTTGGGACATTCATAGGCAGATAAGACATGAAGCCAATGGGGGACCTGTGGGTCTGCCCCAATATTTGGTGTTCTGAGCTCAATATTTATTTGTCCACGTGCATGACAAATCCAGTAGACCAACTTAGCTTTAGTGAAATCTATGCTCCATCCTTTACTACCATATCCTTACAAAAACATTTACAGTTATATGTAATTTTTTAGAGTGCACAGAGCTGTTTAGTACTAGTTCAAACCACTGATGTTTCCTTCGTGCAACTTTTCCTCTCTTTAGCGTATACCCTGAACATGGAGTCATTAGCACTTTCATGGGGAATTTCCCTCCTAGTACTGGGACAATACTTGTTTCCCTAAAAGAGCAATGAATGCTTGATATCATTTCCATGTAATCACAACTTACCTCCAAATCCTGGGGATGAGGAACAACTTGCCTTGGATGGAAGACGTTCCATTTCCGAAATCACAGTAGAAAATTTTA